AAGGTGATGTTGTAGTTTTTTCAAGTTCCAGAATAATGAAGGAAGTCGTCTACATAAAAACACACACACACACACACACACACACACACACATAGGTGTACGTACTTTTGGTTCTTTATTGTCCTAGTTTGAGTGGATATTTTTATTTTGCAGCAATGCTTCTGTGTAAGTTTTGACTCAATTGGTGCGCAATTCAGACGCCATAATCCAAAATATAAACACAATGAAGATGAAGATGTTTGAGTCGCTTCACAGATAATCTGTCTTCTTCCATATACTTGCATACTATTTTGAGGCCATTCAGAATGAGAAGAGCCGAGTGCTAGCTAGGCCACGACCTAAATATGGCGGACCTATATGAAAGAAATCACGTAATGGTCTCTCCGCCTCTCACACGACTACGGGGCCCAGCTTGCACTCGGCTCTTCTCATTCTGAATGGCCTCTTTCACTCTCTTTCTGGTTGATATTACATGCCTTGGACTTTACCAGGAGTGCATCTCCTCAAATATTTTAAATATTGCCATTTTATTCGCCTTCAGTGGTATTCCGGTCACCGTGGCTTTTCTCGTTAGACTGGCCCCATTGCAGTGAGTTTGGACTAAATATCTGGCCAATATTCTTTTTGAATCCAGGCGCAATTTGTTCAGAGTGTTCTTATGTGACCTCATTAGAAAGGAATGTTGTCCCATCCTGATTGAAAATGTTATTAGCAGTCTGTAGCAGTCTGGAAGAAGATATTAAATTGAAAGATTGAACAACTCTTAATCTTAGCACATAGAATTTGGACTATCCTGTTTCTACTGAACACCACACGGCTGCTCTGAAAGCTGTTGAGTAAGTGAACTATGAACCAAAGTTTAGTAAAATCTATCACCAAGACAGAGTTTGCGGAATTGAAATTCAAAGTTCTGTACAATTTTCATGCACCTCTTCAATTTTCAAAGCTTATGTGGATAACAGACGATTTTTGTTTGACAAAAGCACATGGGACAGTGGCATTTCCATTTGCTTCCAAGTTGGAACTGTGCCAAACAATGCTACATTATTGCACGTCTAACTAATGGGACCAAGACTAGAATTATAGGCTACAAAACTGCTATGAAGCTTTGGCTAAACCGGTCAATTTCCGCCTTAAGTAGAACAGTCGACCATTTTTTATAATTGATGGAAACCACATATGGCTTTCACTAATTTTGATGATGCGTTACTTTTGAAAATGGTATTTTTTCTTTGCCATTCAATTCACATGTAAGCTGATGCAACATCACAGAGGCTTGAATGTGAAATATCAATATTTTCGTGATTGCGATACCAGCAGTTGTATTGTGAATGCATTGATTAAATTATGAATAATTACCCGCAATTCTTTCTGTTCGGCATGAATATAATGGCAATCATTAAAAATAAATCTGAATAGGTAAAAGTGGACGAAAGTTCAAACGGACGTTACTAAGCGTGTTTCATGAAGTGGGCTATGTATAATTTATATCCAATCACGTCCCATTTTAAGTAAGAGACGTGAGTTTACGGTGAATGCAACAAGCATACTTTCAAAGACTAAACAAACGTTGGAAAAGGGTGCACTAGATTGTAAGCGATTGCATTTTGACATTTGTTATCTAAATTAAACCCCTTGTGAAAAAACTGAGCTGTTCTGACAATGGCTATGAAGTAAAAAGTTGCTTCCAGTTGCACACTAAGATAATGACACGATGAAGATTTGCTGCAGGAAATTAAGGTGCGTGTTTCAGAGACTGACCATGTCGCTGTAGCATAGATAATGCATTACACATTAGTTGCACATCGCAAGAAAAACTATTTAGGCCAGAACTTCAGTTTTTTGTACGATCCATGTGCTTGAAGTCACGTAGGTGTATGGCGAGCTACACTTTTGTGAAAATAAGTGACCGGTGAACGGTGGCAGGTACTGCTCGTACGTTTTGCTCTTATGAAATCCATGTTCACGTTTCTGAATGTGTCCCGGGGACTGATCCTGTATGTTTTTAAAATCAGTCAAAATGCAATTGTAATTGGAAGTTTTTCTTTTCTATATTTATCGCGAAAAGTATTGTGCATAAAAGGGTACTTCGTGGCTACTTAATTTATCCACAATTTAACTTAAACACACTTGTCGCTTCTTTAGATGTAGAATAAATGGAGCACTCCAGCTAGTACCGCAACGTCAGTAGCACACGGGTACTACCCTTAAAGACACACAAGTTAAACAGCAAAGCTCAAACTACACCTCTTTGTAATCGAATGCATACCTATATTCAAATCACTATCAGGTGCAATATGTCTTAATTCATGCATCGGTGACGGGATTGACGTTGTAAATCTATGTAGATTTCCCCGTAAGAGTGAAAAAATCTACTACCGCCGGGAATTTAATCGCAAAACGACCGAGAATCTAAAAACATCAGTTAATTTTATTGCATTAAGCTATTAGTCGTTTTCATTCCTCTATCAATCCTGTCTGATCTATAAATTAACGTATTTTTTATATTGATTTTCAACGTTTTTACCATCAATGTGGCCTTTTATCTCAAATATACAACCACATGAAGATAATATACCCGTCGCCAAAATAAATTCTCTAATTCTTAAGTTCGATTAAATCAAGCTAAGTTAAATGCTTGTTTTGGTCAATAGCTTACAGATTAGGCCATCCATCTCAATCTATTAGCTTCGTTAAAGGTTACGAAGGAAATCAGCAAAAGTCTGTCCTGTTATTGATCCACTGTCATGGGTTGTTTGTTCCAAGCGATTCCTAATGCCATTCTAATCGGCGATCGTGTCGGAAGAAAAAACGAAAAAACGAAACCCTTAAAGTACCTGTTGGCTACTCTGAGAGAGATCCTTCTAGTTGTCCCAGGTCCTTGCACTGTTACAATGTTACAGCTAATGTACTGTACTGTACAATGTTACAGCTAATGTCCACCGTACTGGTGGAGGGTACGGTTGGTATATTGAGCACTCTGATGGGTCTGTGATCTCTCTGTATAGTTTTTACCGAGGAGGGTGTTATTTATAAAGAACGTGCACCATAACTCAAATACCAAGAGGAGGCGTGTTTATAATTTTAGTGGAACAATTAGGAGATACCTTAAAAAGTGACCCTTAAGTATATTGCGAACGTTCAAAGTCATATACATATATGAAAAATGTGATCATATAGAAAGGTGGCCTGGATTTAAGGGGATAAAAAGTACCAGGAGTACTTTCCGTTACTGATATATTTGCTCGCTGATTGATCTTTTGAACAGTTTGCTATGGTTTAAAAGTCAAGTTATTTATATTTGCAACAACGTCCCTGTTCATATGACTTACTGCAATGGCTGAGATTTATACGAAAGACATAAACAACGAGCTTTTACACTAATAAAAGTTTGTGTTTTACATAATTAAGCATAACGGGGAAAAACGTCAAGTCACGCTGATTCAGACTAGTTATTTTATGTTTGCAGAAAAAATGTGTAAGACTACATTTCTCTTCAAGGCAATACAGGTTGTCGAGGATTGTAAAGTGACATACCGTGTAACTACTTGTATCAAATTAAAAACCAGTATGAATATAGAGTATTGACCGGGAACAACCACCTAATGAAAGTGCCCTGTTGATGAACCCATTCCTGAATTGTTTTCAACGAAAAAAAAACCTCTTGCAGATGTCTAATAGTATCATCAATAAATCGGAACCCTGCCCATATCGTCTGTATATCATTACACACACTCATGCGTCCAAAAATTACGATGCTGGCTACGATTTCACATTAATCATTTTGCAGTAGATATTTCCACTTTCTGATTACCACACTTTGAGTAAATTAGGTTTATGCAACAATTTACAGAGAAGAGCAGCATGGAAATGAAGGTGGGGAGTCGTCTGCAGTCTCATATTTTCTGCAATCAGTTGATTTGATATGTAGCAGTCGTGTGATTCTCGCTTCTTCAAAATTGCTGTATACCGAATGGGAAACACAAAAACGTTACACGTAACACTTATGCAGAGGATTACAGGTAACCGCACGCGAGTGATTTGCTTTAACTCGAAAGTTTGATAATTAAGAAAGATTATTTAGTAATCTTTGTTTCATGCCGTCATCCACTCTTGAAAATGATTTTGGCGCTAAATGTCACATGCACTGCTTGGTAAAAGCAGGCTAACAGTTTCCTAATATTTTTCAGAAGTGCGTGCAGTGATTTCTGTGCAAGATTTTCCTATAAGAAATAGTATCATCAGCTAGTAAGTTCTAAGTAATTCATATAACTTTTGAGATCTACTGTTTGGAACAACATAGAAAGAAACCTTTAGCATTGAACTGTATATGAAGAAAATGATAAAGATGGGCGAGAACTGTCACCAGTGGCTTCCCGTTTTGTATCATCAGTCTTCTCAGAAGCATAACCTAATTCACAAATATAGGTAATTTGCTAAAGACAAATATGCAGCCTTTGTTTCACGTCTTCATATATTTTCTTAATTTTTTTATGTATCTCCTGGAGACGAAGAAATTAAAATTTGGATAATCACATGGAATACATAGTCTCTGGTACACTGATAAACAAAATGAGGTTCAACATTACGCGTAATTTGTAATGTCCATTTGTCTGATATTCAAAGGAAGGGTAAATTATGGTTGCTTTTCTTTATCAATTATTATTCATTTATTTATTTATTTTGATTCAGAAAAATAGATCTGTTGTGGAAACCAAATTGAACACGACTTATAAATCACGTATATGTAGCACACGTTTGTTCGCTAGAGAAAAATTTATTTTGGTGAGCCAATCATGCGTAATTAGCAATGTTTTACTGATCATAAATCCTGGCGTTGAAAGATATTGATCAGTGTGATCCTCCTTAAACGAATTCATTGTGTACCAGTGCGATCACAGCCCACTGAGCTCACACTGGAGACAGAATTTCCTAATTCATTTGATTTTCTGGAAATCTTCAGGGGTAACTTGTCAATTTATGCTCATTTTTCATTTCAGACGAAACGAGTCTCCGAGGTGCCAGTTTCAAGGAATGTGATCCTCAACCGTGACTGTATCTTCGTGTCTATTGGCAACGTGGTTTTGATTCGCTAGCGGGACTTAAGAGCAGTCTAGGCTACTACTGTCGGTTATAGAAATATGGCAACATGCCTTACGGCAAACGAAACAGAAAAAATGACTGCAACATGTTTTGATGTGCCTCTGGTATACAAGACGATACTCAAGATCAGATTTTTGGAGACACTATGAGCACAGAGGTGTTTCAATCCTTGGTTGATTGAGCTGAAAACTACTGGTGACATATAAGAAGGTGTTTGTTCTTGACTTTTGGCATTTGTGCTTCATCGCTTGATTACCACACCGACTGTACCCACTCCTGTGTTCCAAAAGGCTCTGAACATGTAAAGATAATAATTCAAAGATTTTGACAATTGGATGTCATTCACGTGGAACCAAAGCGTTTTTGCCAAGGTAGCAGAATTTGCATTAAAAGCTGAAGGATATCTACGGAATAATAAAAGGAGGTAATTGTTCATTGTCCGTGGCAGTTGCCAACATAAACTAATGCAGTTAGTTTTTAAACATTATATGAGTTCTTCCTGCTATAGCATAAGGAAATGTTCTCAGTTCGACCAAACGTTATATTGGGATTTGTAATGTGCTTCGAATTACTGTAATCACGAGAAGTATTTATCAGCTTGCTATGTGCTTCCGAGCAGATGAACCGTCGTATTTAGCGTTTTCGTGAGGAAAAGATCATAGTTGATTATATTTTTGAACTGAAGCAGGTTGGATACATTTTCTGCTCTAGTATCCGTGCGCTTTAAAACGCTTCGCACTTGGCGCACCATATGCTGTAATTACCATTAAAGACCAAATGATCGTTTGCCCAAGACTTAAAAACGGGTTGCTGAGTGGTAAATATTTCAAAATGCTGAGGGTATTTATGTGACACATCCAAATATCTATCACAAACGCTTGCATTATTACAGACAACAATGTAAAGCCGTAAGTGGACACAAAGGGAAAGATGTAAATCTAGTTTGAAAAGAGTGATATTGAGAATTTGTTTTCAGGTACTTATGTTTCATACTCAGTCTTTACAGACGACCTCAAAAACCATGACAACCATCCGGGCGTTACTCACTTTCAAAATGTCGGATATTACGACTTTGCAGTCACCTCACAACGTTAGCACGACAGTAAATCAAAAAGAAAGTGGCTTAAACTCGACATGCGCTCTTCCAAGCTGTTACTCAACTCTTCATATTGCCTTAGCGTCAGTAGTGGTCGTCGCCATCATGATTGGAATTATATTTGGAAACATAATGGTAATATTAGCCATTCTAACAGACAACCAGTTACGATCTATTCAGAATTCATTTTTGGTTTCCCTAGCGGTGGCAGACCTATTGGTTGGACTTCTAATTATGCCTTTATGTTTGTCGTATGAACTGATGGGGTACTGGTATTTTGGCGAAGTATTATGTGAACTTTGGCTAGCAATGGATGTCCTGTTAACTACAGCTTCTATTCTTAATCTCTGCATCATCAGCTTAGACAGATACTGGTCCATCACAAGAGCAGTAGAGTACGTTAAAAAGAGAACCCCGTTTAGAGCTGGGATTATGATTGCAACCGCGTGGATAATATCTGCAATAATTTGTCTACCACCTTTAATTGGTTGGAAGAAACCACAAAAACCCCATCGATGTGAACTAACAGACGACATCGGATATGTGCTTTATTCCACAACCGGGTCTTTCTTTATCCCCCTTATTATCATCCTGGTTGTGTATGGGAATATATTTAGAGCAGCCAAATCTCGAGCCAGACGACATGTTAAAAATTTGAGACGTAAACCTGCAGAGAATAACGGTGTATCCATGAATAGCATGCCACGTGCAGAAACTAAACGATCTATTGGCAGCTATTACGAGGAAATAGATTCAGAATCTGGGGAACATTCTCCACATGCGTTAGAAAAAAATGAGAGTGAAATGGACACATCTCACCCAAAACTGGGTTATTCCTCCCAAGCAGATCAGCGTCTACTAGTGGCAGTAGTGATGGGCCTCGAAAGTCATCCGACGAATGTGTAAAACCCTCTGGCTGCACAAAGAGCATAATGACTATGGTTAGAAAAAACAAAGACGATACTTTATCTTCGAACGGAACCTCGAATGGACGCAGAGTTTCCTTTTCCAATGATCATCTGGTAGAGGGAAAGGATGAAGATAAGAACGAGAAAACCCATTTTACCTTCGAGCAAGAAAGGCCCGTTCATAATGGCAAAGTGACATTTATCTACAACCAGTCAGATAACTCGAAGGGTGGGGCCAGTGCGGGGTCTAGAATACATGCGGTATATAACAAAATTAGGAAAAAGAAATCTTCAGTTACAAGTGCAGTAAGCAGGATGAGTAAATATTCTGGTGAATGTGAAAGTGACATAGACACTGGTGTGAATACAGAAACTGATCTACTAAGGCGCCACAACGAGCGGCAGAAACGCCGTCTAGCACGAGCCAGAGAGAAGCGAGCCAGCCTGGTGGTTGGTGTAATTATTGCGGCCTTTACGCTGTGCTGGTTCCCTTTCTTTTTCACCTACGTCCTGTCTGTGGTTTTCAAATTCAAAATCAACAACGCAGTTTTTGCAGTAATCTTTTGGCTGGGTTACTGCAATTCTGGGCTGAATCCACTTATCTATACCCTCTTTAACAAAGATTTCAAAGTGGCGTTTCGGAAACTGATATGGCCCAGTGGGACATGCAGTAGACGCAGACGCTGTACCACTTACGTGTGATCTGATTAAAAACGTTTATAGACAGACATACATGTACCTGCAATGATATTTGGAGTAATATCGATTTGTATTTTTTAGGTTCCCAATTAGAGTCGACGAATCTCAATTCAAACGGTATTTTTTGGGCGCAAGAGAGGATTTTTCATAATTAATCCAAGCTCCAATAACTGATTCATCAGAAAAGCCCCTTCATCAGTGGAAGTTCTAGGAAATTCTAGGTTGAATATAATCTTTATATAGTGCAAGCGCATATTTACAATTTTTGATAAATTCCATTAGACCTAAATATGAAAATTGTACATGCATGCAACCCGCTAGTTGTGATAAAAAAGTAAGTGGTTACTTTGAGGCATACATGTGACGTTTGGTCCCTTTTTTACCATTACTACACAATAGACATTGGAAAACTCATTTCACCTAACTTACCAGTTGTATACTAGTATGTATAACGTATCTATATTGTATATATAATTGGTAAATTGACATCAAACATGTTAACGCACCTCCCCTTAACTCTCGTTATTGCCTACCAACTATTTGCATATCAGATCGAGAGTTATGTATAAGTTTCTGGATATTATCAGATATCAAGTTGAAGAAATGTATAAATGAATAATGTTTTAATCTAGTACTGGACCTACAGTACTACACCTACCGTAAGTGTTATAACAGAGATATCATTAAAAACCTTTTATTTATAAATGAGGGAAGTATGTTCCTCAGAAACATGACGTGGTTATGTGCCCAAAATCGAAATAAAATTATCTTGCTTAGTCAAAGATCGTTGTTTGTACACAAACAAAATATTTATGAAGCTTACATGTTAGCTAACGGCCTGGACGAAGGACTGAGTGGAAGTTAATAATTACTGACCGTTAGGTGGCACAGCGGTCGGGGCCCTGTTAAAGATAAAATTGACCCCCATCCCTGTTCTTTGGTTGATGGAATTTTGTCATTGTACAGATAATGATATTTTGGACATGTCTACATGATATCTATACCAAGCTGGCGAACATATTTTTTGCTCAAGTTTTGTTTGTCAGTTTGTTAAGAAATGCTCCCATCCCAGCTTAGGTTGAATAACTTGAAGGCGGGAGACTGACTAAGTAGGCCATCCATACTGCATAGTGTTGGGATTTCATTATATTTCAGTGACCGCTGATTGACTCTGTGAAACAAATTTCAGACGTGAAACCGTATTGCTAATTTCAAAGAGCCAGCATACTGGAAATTGGTTTACATCCGTTCATACGTTGCGCAATCTTTTGTTGGCAGTAAAACCACAAGCAATGTATGCTGACATCAATGAAGCGCAGTTAACATATCAACGTACTCTCTGTATTTTTTCCAAATTCGCACAAAATTTCTCCCCACAGAATGATTGCTCTATTTAAATACCAATTACAGTTGTCTTTTCGGCTAACTGCAGACTAATCCTAAATAACCTAATGACTAGCGTATCAAGATAAAAGTAATGAAATGACGTTTAGTGTGCTTTCATGGTCCTTGAAAACTGAAATACGAGATTAAGAAATAACATAACTGCGAATAAAGTTACATGTTCATGCTGAGAAATACATTGTACTTCATGCATAGTTAGGAAGTAAAATATATATTTTAAGACGCAATTGCACTAACAAATGTTGGCAATAAAGTACGGATAACCTAATAAATTGATGATGGGGCGGACCAAAAGGCATGATAAGGTCGACAGGAATTTGCATTTCATGAATGCACAAAACAATGTTTCTGTCACTTTATTGGTCGGAACTGACGTTACTTTCAAGGACCAAATTGATTAAAGAAGTGCTCAGTTAGTTGTTGGAATGTCACAGACCAGAGAACACTTACTGCATTCACAGATTACATTCACAGCTTACAAAAATGAGTTTACAGTGGTGAACAAACCGGTATTCACATCTGACAGCACCAATCTCTCTTTGATCCAGTGAAACAGGCTACAGCTAATCTGAAGAACCCATACATACTCGCCCAGATAACTGAGAATGCTGAGATCGTGTCCATGATTTTCGTCAAACACAGATAAAACATATAATAGAGATCTGTAAGATACTTATACCTTGACAGCTAACGTGAGATATGGATTTTTAGATACGAGGGATACCTTACAACAGACCTCAAAAGATTACGTGAGATGGGGATTTAAAGCCAATTCCATAAACCAGAGCACCATGTACATGTATCCAGATAATTTATTTTAATGTAAATAATTAATGTACTTAAAAATATAAACCCTTTTCAGATGGAACGTCGATTTTGTTTTTGTGTGTTGTTTTTGTGCAATTTGTGTATATAGATTGGTGGTGGGTTTTTTTTTTTTTTTTTTTTGGGGGGGGGGGAGATTTTAACGCGAAAGCAATGCAAAAAAAAAAAAAAAAAGGATTTTGCTAGCATCCTACACAAAATTAGAGTACTTACCGCCCATGACTCTTTCCACATACTCAAAAATATCCAAATTGTGTACGTTTTTAAGACAACATTTTTTCACTTCACTTAGTCTAGCAAACAGACATAGGGAGATTTAAGACAATGAAAAGACAATATACATGACATATCGTCCCTTTATTTTTTACTTTTTATAGATTTATGCTATACATGGCCATCTCATATTGTTCAAGGTGCAGTTTCATATAAGCATTAGTGTCCCTTTTTGACGATGCACGCAACGATAATTGCTAACGTCACTTGATTGAAGGGAAGAATATCGCACAAGAATCAAGTTAAGTACGTGACAAAATCAACACAACGACCTGATGGTTGCTTTCTATTGAGTTAAGTTTCCCACTTCCTGTCAAACAAACAATCTGATCATACATTTATGACCTTGGACAGATTCCCAATCATTTTATTTTCGACTTACTGGCTGGCAACAAAATCCAGCAACAAAGTAATCATACCCAGATGAATGAGCTTTACTTAACATTTCTATGGCCTCCCATCGGTTACTTAGACAGAAGTGCGATGATATATTTTAAAACATTAAAGGGTGTACGTGCAGATATAGAGGCAAAAATACATTTTCTTTCTTTGCAATCTTGATGAATATGAATTGATTTCGTTAATGTTCTCGCATACAACTTGTTTTTAATTGTTACCACGATGTTAATTTGACCTTTGTTTCCTCCATGTTCTAAAGGATAAAATCCAATTGAAGTTTCAAAGAGCGATTACTGCCGCATTGAATTTACGGGAACAACTACCAAATGAACAGATACATGCCTCACGCACTCCTCGTGACACACGTCTCAATCAACCTCTATTTCTCGACATTTGCTGCCAATGTCTCTTTGCCTCACTTCTCTCAATAAATTCAATTACTGGCGATGAATTCGTTACACGGTGTTACATAGGAATTCGATACTTGAGATCAATGACGCGCTTGGTTAGGGGTCAATTGAATCGTGCAGCGCGTTTCTGGTATTGGGAAGCATCCAGCATCCCCCTGTATATGTACGATTTGCCTAATCAACTTCGACAACATCGAGAGAAGGGCAATATTCACCTCCCGTTGATTCATTTCCCCATAAAAGAAACCTTAAATAGATATCAGGACCAGTTAGGCACGTCTTTTTACCTAAAAACAATTAATTAACTAAGATATTGGAAACATTTACGTGAAAATAAATGGGCATCTCAAACAGGTCTGGATGCGTTGGTGAAGAATTTTGCTGAAATTGCAGAACCAATCAACTGAATACCGACCACTTGTCTACATCAATTGTCGGTTTTGCTGCATTATGGAACCGAGCACATAATGAGAGATTCAGATGCATTTTGTTCTTTCTGAAATGCATTAAACAGTGTTATTGCTCTGCTCATAATATTCTTATTCCGTCGCATTTCGTATGCGAGGTAAGCCACTTGAGCGCAATCAAGAAAGAGCAATACAACAATTAGGGCTGAAAGCAATTAGTTTAAGGTTAGTCTTGTTTTTGAACAAGATTTCCAGTATAATTAGGCCAAAAATTGCAACCGTAATGTTTAAACGATTCGAAAGGGGATAGAAATCTACTCTTATTGATTGCATTAGAATAAACGCCAGTAGGTAATGAACCTAGCAATAGACAGTGCAGCTAATCCAAGTTGCTGAAGTCAAGCGCAAGAGGCTCGGCTGATAAACATGTCATATTCAATTCGTAAACCATATCTTGCCGAGTTTAAGAAAGCTATCATGTTTGATAATCTAAATAAAATTCTAGACAGCATTGATATGACAGTTTTTGACGCATACGCCTTGACAAGATAAATACCGTGGTTTTGAGTCTTTCTTATGTTTTGGTAAAAAAAAAATCAGCTTTTTTCACTAATATCAAAAAATTATTTTCGTCAGCGTTTTCTGAATCCAACATACTCCAACAACAAATAAATCAAATTGTAATACTGATTAACAACTAATTAAATGAGTGCACAAATACCTTTCTTAAAGTAAGATTTCGGCACAACACATTGGGTGAAGTAATAACACAAGACGAAACAGATGACAGTCAGTATTAAAATACATATCTGTACCCCGCCTGTACTTCACTGCTTGTATTCAAACTACGTCATCTATCCGGATGGGAGTGTATGTTCTGCAGCCACAGGAAAGAGAAGGCGTTGGGACATCAACGGGATATCCTGGGTGTCTTAACCTGCACTTAATTAAACCTTAATGAGCTTTGTAATACGTATTTTTGGCGTTGGCATTTACCGCACTTGACGTTATTGTTCACATGCCAATAATGATTACACAACGGTCTCTTGCACACGTTTCTTTGGAAACTGTAATTGGCAGAAGGCACATCAACAACATTATATATATATATATATAACGTGTTTTGAATGCTTAATATTTGTAGCAATAACGTTCTCGTTGTGTCTATACGAGAGAAGCGATTGTTTTTTATTTTGCCATTATCAATAGAACTTAGATCAGTTTCAATGAAGAGCAATGATCAGACAGCAATTTCCTCATCTTTACTGCCCATCAATCGCAAAAAATACCCTACGCAACCCAAAATATCTCATCACTCTTACAGGCTTTGATTTCGATTGAAAGCACAAAC